GGGTAATTACTAAATTAAGAATTAATTCGAATGCAGCAAAAAATCACTTATTGTCTCTTTCGATAATGTTTTCGATTCAAAAAGTTGTTGTTGTTCGTCCTGCTATAAAATAATAACGTAAAACGAGTGCTCCGTAAATAATGGATTATTTATTCTGATTATTAACACGAAACCTGCTCATCTCGTGCGAGCAAAAAATTGTAGTGTTTGCGTTTTATCATCATCCGCGAACAGGAAATTAACCTGAAACCGAAAACACGTTACAGATGAATCAACAAATCTCGTAAAAATGCGGATTGGTTTTTGCGCAATTTTCACCCCAATTAATTATGGAAGCTCATTATTGGCAAACACGGAAATGCACTTATTATGCTAAATAAATGGCGTTTATGCATTTATGGCGCTTTAAAATCTTATTTTCTGTCTGGTCCGAAATGCCAACAGTGCTAAGTAAAAAATTATTTTGGGAATTAATTTTTTTGGTTTTTTTGTTCGTTATGTAGAGATTTTTTCACAATACAAAACTGGAAGAAAAAATAATACAGAATTTTTACCGTTGTTACCTATAAAACCTAAAACTGTCTAGAACAGTGCCTTGTGTATAACCAACATTTAAAATATTGACTCTGTGTTTTATTTCAAAAATTTGAAAGAACTTCGGAGACCTTTTTATTTTATTTCTGCAAAAGTGTGTTCTTTTAACCTCGAGGACCGTTTCTAGTTGGATGACTTTAAAAGATTTTGAAAATTCTGAAAAAAAGGACTCCGGTTGTTTAGAACTGAAAGATTTTAAAAGTATCTCAGGGAATCTTGTTATTATTTTTGTAGGACTTTGAAAGAATCAGCAGGATCCCTTGTGTTTTACTTTCGAAGGAATTTAAAAGAATCTCAAGGATTCCTCCCGTTCGATTTTTCAAAAAGTTTGACAGATTCTCAGGAATTCTTATGTTTTATATTTGAAAGAATCTCTAAGTTCTTGATAGTTTAATTTTGGAAGATTTTGAAAGAATCTCGTGGACTCCTTCTACTTTATTTCTGAAAGAAGCTCACGGGCCCCGCTTGTTAAGATTTGAAAGATTTTGAAAGAATCTCAGACACCCCTTGTGTTTTATTTTTTTTTTTAATTTAAAAGAATCTCAGGGATTCTTTCTGTTCTATTTTTGAAAGAGTTTGACAGATTCACAGAAATTCTTGTGTTCTGTTTTTGAAAAAGTTTAAAAAAAATCTCGGGTTCTACCCCTGTTTTTTTTTTAAAGAGCCTGAGAGATATCTCGGTTACTTGTTCTGTTTTATCCCTGAAAGGATTTCGAGGTTCCCGATAGTTTAATTCTGGAAGATTTTGAAAGAATCTCCCGGACTCCTCTGTTTTATTTTTGAAAGAGTTTGAAAGAGATTTCGAGGACGCCTTTTTTTATTTTTGAAAGCGTTTAAAAGAATCCCGAGTACCTGTTCTGTTTACTTTTCAAAAGAATCTCGAAATCCCAGAATGTTTAATTGTAAAAGATTTTGAAAGAATTTCGCGGATTCCTTGTTTTATTTATGAAAGAATTTCGAGGTCCTTGGTTGTTTAAACCTGAAAAATTTTGAAAGAATTTCAGGGACCCCTCGTGTTTTATTTTTAAAAGAATTTAAAAGAATCTCAAGGATTCCTCCTGTTCGATTTTTCAAAGAGTTTGACAGATTCTCAGGGATTCTTATGTTTTATTTTTGAAAGAGTTTAAAAGAATCTAGGGTTTTAATTCTGTTTATTTTTGAAAGAGCTTGAAGGATGTCTCGGGTATTCCTTCTGTTATATCTCTGAAAGAATCTTTAAGGTCTCGATAGTTTCATTTTGGAAGATTTTGAAAGAATCTCGTGGACTCCTTCTATTTTATTTCTGAAAAAAGCTCAAGGGCCCCGGTTGTTAAGATTTGAAAGATTTTGAAAGAATCTCAGCCACTCCTTGTGTTTTATTTTAATTTTTTTTTTAATTTAAAAGAGTCTCAGGGATTTCTTCTGTTCTATTTTTGAAAGAGTTTGACAGATTCACAGAAATTCTTGTGATTTTTTTTGAAAGAGTTTAAAAAAATCTCGGGTTCTCCCCCTGTTTTATTTTTTAAAGAGTTTGAAAGAGATCTCGGGTACTTCTTCGGTTTTATCCCTAAAAGGATTTCGAGGTTCCGGATAGTTTAATTTTGGAAGATTTAAAAAAAATCTCGCTGACTCCTCTGTTCTATTTTGGAAAGAGTTTGAAAGAGAATTCGAGGGCGCCTTTTTTATTTTTGAAAGCGTTTAAAAGAATTTCGAGTACCTGTTCTGCTTAATTTTCGAAAGAATCTCGAAGTCCCCGAGTGTTTAATTGTAAAAGATTTTGAAAGAATTTCGCGGATTCCTTGTTTTATTTCTGAAAGAATTTCGAGGTTTATGGTTCATCAATTATGTTTCATTTTTGAAAGAGTTTAAAAGAATCTCGAGTATTTCTTCTATTTTATTTCTGAAAGAATCTCGAGGATTCCGGTGTTTACATTTGAAAGATTTTAAAAGAATTTAGGGACCCCTTTCGTGCTATTTTTGAAAGAGTTTCAAAGAATCTGAGGGACCCGTTGTGTTTTATTTTTGAAAGAGTTTCAAAGAATCTAAGGTATCCCAACTTTTTTATTTCTGAAAGAATCTCGTGAACCCTGATTGTTTAGATATGGCTGATTTTGAAAGAATCTAGGGGACTCCTTATGTTGTATCTCTGAAAGAATTTCAAGATCCGAGGTTGTTTAATTTTGAAAGATTTTAAAAGAATCTCGAGAACTACTTGTGGTTTATTTCTGAATGAACCTCGAAGACTCGAGTTGTTTAGATTTGAAAGATTTTAAAAGAATCTCAGGTACCCCTTCTGTTTTATTTCTGACAGAATATCAAAGACCCCGGTTGTTTAATTTTGAAAAATTTTGAAAGAATCTTGTGGACTCCTTCTGGTTTATTTCTGAAAGAATCTTGAGGAACCCAATTGCTTAAATTTGAAAGTTTTTGAAAGAATTTCAGGGACCACTTATGTTGTACTTTTGAAAAAGTTTAAAAGAATCTGGGATACTTCTTCTATTTTATTTCTGAAAGAATCTCGAAGATTCCCGTTGTATAGATTTGAAAGATTTTAAAAGAATCTCAGGTACCCCTTCTGTTTTATTTCTGATAGAATATCAAAGACCCCGGTTGTTTAATTTTGAAAGATTTTGAAAGAATCTTGTGGACTCCTTCTGGTTTATTTCTGAAAGAATCTTGAGGATTTCGGTTGCTTAAATTTGAAAGATTTTGAAAGAATTCCAGAGACCCCTTAAGTTTCATTTTTGAAAGAGTTTAAAAGAATCTCGGATACTCCTTCTATTTTATTTCTGAAAGAATCTCGAAGATTCCGGTTGTATAGATTTGAAAAATTTTAAAAGAATCTCAGGTACCCCTTCTGTTTTATTTCTGACAGAATATCAAAGACCCCGGTTGTTTAATTTTGAAAGATATTCAAAGAATCTCGTGGACTCCTTCTGGTTTATTTCTGAAAGAATCTTGAAAATCCCGGTTGCTTAAATTTGAAAGTTTTTGAAAGAATTTCAGGGACCCCTTATGTTTTATTTTTGAAAGAGCTTAAAAGAATCTCGGATACTTCTTCTATTTTATTTCTGAAAGAATCTCGAAGATTCCGGTTGTATAGATTTGAGAGATTTTAAAAGAATCTCAGGTACTCCTTCTGTTTTATTTCTGACAGAATATCAAAGACCCCGGTTGTTTAATTTTGAAAGATTTTGAAAGAATCTTGTGGACTCCTTCTGGTTTATTTCTGAAAGAATCTTGAGGATTTCGGTTGCTTAAATTTGAAAGATTTTGAAAGAATTTCAGGGACCCCTTATGTTTTATTTTTGAAAGAGCATAAAAGAATCTCGGATACTTCTTCTATTTTATTTCTGAAAGAATCTCGAAGATTCCGGTTGTTTAGATTTGAAAGATTTTAAAAGAATCTGAGGGACCCCTTTGTGTTTTATTTTTGAAAGAGTTTGAATGAATCTCCGATACCCCTTTTGTTTATTTTAGAAAGATTTTGAAGCATCTCAGAGCTTTTTTTTTTCTTCATTTTTTCGAATCCCAAGAATAATGTAATATCCGTTCGCAGAACTCCCGCACTGTCAGAATGACATTCTGTTGGTATGAGAAATAATCCCTTAAAAGATTTTTAAGTTTATATGATTACCGCCTTGAATTTCAAATTTTCAAAATTAATTAATGAAAAATCAAATGTTTATTAACTATTTTAACTTTTTGATTTGCTGAAGTGTTCAATGTGTTTAAAGAACTTGCCAGTAATTCAAACAAATTGTAGCACCAGAAGCGTAGAAATGGACAGTAAAATCAAAAATATATATTATTCAAAAAAAGCTTTCGTTGTCGTTCGTGTGTCATACTCTTTCTTTATTTGAATTGATAAAAATCTTCAGTTAATGTGCTTTTGACATTTTTATTTGACAAGTTATTTTTAGTTACTAATTTGTCACCAGATTGCAATTTTGCAACATATTGTACAGGTTTTTCACATCTCACCACTGAGTACACTCAGGTCATTTTTTCCAAATCTGACACTGACAGTGCGGGAGTTTTGCGAACGGATATTATACAAAAATCGACCATAAAACTTGCAGAAATTCCGCTCATGTTGACATTTTGACTTGACATTTAATAAATAACAATAAACAAGTTATTAGTATTAAACTAAATCAAGTAGGTAGTCTTTTTCATTGCCAACTTTGACCACATTATTTTCTGGATGTGTTTCTCGCTTTTATTCATCAAAACCGTATACTACTCCGGAAATGCTACTTGAAATGCAAATACCGAGTAGGATTATCGTCTAATCTTTTTTTATATTAACGAGTTAATGACCCAAAAAACCCAACTAAAATAAAGATCGCAGCGCCACCTATTCGCCATACCTCGAACCACGTCTAGAACTCTACACCGCCCGTCAAATCCAGGATCCCCACCCTCTCCAAACGTCACCTGTCACACCTGTCAGCCTGTCACTGCCACAACAAACAAACATTGTGGTTATGTTGTCACATTTCGCCCCAGCCAGTCAAAATCGCCAGTAAACACCCATCACCCACCGAAAAATGACGTAAACACACCACCACCCAGCATGAACATAACAATCGACGACTACGAAGCCCTCGGCGACAGCGACAAGGGCCCCCGCACCCCCACAGCCACCGTATGCTTCGTCTCCCTGCGCCGCCTCGTCGCCATAGTCTTCGCCCTAGTCACAGGAATCTGCGTCGTGCTCCTATGCAAAGTCTACATCAAGTTCGTGCTTCTGTGGCTCGAGAAGCAGGACCCCATTGTCATCTCAGTGACGCTAAGTGTCCTTTTCGTCTTGGTGGCGCTGCCCATAAGCATTGGGTACATAGTAATAGTGGCGGCCGAGGGGTATTTGTTCGGGTTCGTGAGGGGGCTGGTGTTGACGCTGTTCGGGGCGAATTTCGGCCTGCTGGTCGCCCACAATTTGCTCAAGCTGGTGGGGCACCATAAGTCGGTGTACAGGTACACGCAGAACGAGACGGCACAGGCCATCATGAGGCTGATTTCGGGGCCTTTGTGTTTCAAGATCGTGTTTTGCTCGAGGCTGACTCCGATTCCTTTTGGATTCCAGAATACGATTTTTGCTGTAAGTGGTAGTTCGTAGTGGAAATGGGGCTATTATAAATTGTTGATAAAATGGCGTGGTGCTGATACCACATAGTTTAGAAAAAAAGCGCGATAACATTTAAATACGTCAGAATGTAACAGGGGTCACATTTAGGTCATTTGCTGTTTGCGTTGTTTATGAGTGATTGAGCTAACAGCGGGTCATAAATAAAGAACTGAAGTTGTGTGTAATCTGGGGGGGGGGGTCTAATCAAATCTAATCTAATCCAAATATTCGTAAGTTAATGCTGCCTGATCATAGATTTTGAGAATGTCAACATTTCCATAATTTTAGAATAGAAGCTTTTCAAGGACAATTATTGATGTAGATTACTAAAAATTTTAAAAAGCAATCTTTTATTTTTAATTCTATAAGTCCTACAAAGTTGAACTTCGGTTAAAAAAAGCGAATTTTCAGAAATTCATCTTTTTCGAAGTAATGAATGAATAGTTATAAACTTCCAAAACGAGAGTCGAATCGGAAAAAACTGGAAATTTAAGCTTTTGTTTTCAATTCTAAGATATTTGGCGATTTTTGATTTTTTTATCACATATTTCTCGATTTTTCTTTTTATTTTAAACAAATCAGATTTTGAAAATTCTTTAATTATTCCGGAGATGAACACAATTATCAATATTTATTTTGATAAAATTTGAAAAATTGAAAAATTAAAAACTCGAAAATCAGAAAATCGAAAAATTCAAAAACTGAAACCTCAAAAAGTCGAAAAATTCAAATCGAGAAACTGGAAGGAGGAAATCAAAAAAGCAAGATATCAACAACTTGAAAAATTGGAAAATCAAGACACTAAAACAAAAAGTCAAAAATTTGGGAAATCCGCAAATCGAAGTCGAAAAATAGAAAACTCAGGAAATCGGAAAATCGAAATGCGAAAAATCAAAACTTGAAATATCGGAAATTTCAAAATCGAGAATCGGGAGGAGAAATGGAAAATCGCGAAAATTGGGAAATTAAAACACCGAAAAATTGAGAAAACTGGGAACTGAAAAATTGAAAATTTTAAAAATTGGGGAATTGAAACTCAAGAAATCAGAAGCTTGAAAAATTTTAAATCAAGAAATCCAAAATTTTTAAAAATCTGGATCTCGGGAAACCAAAAAAACGAAAAATTGGGAAATCGACAAACTGGGAAATCTAAAAATTTTTCGATTTTTATTTGGAAAATTTTTTAGAAATTTGGAACTCGAAGTCGAAAAATTCAAAACTCGAAAAGTGAAAAATCCATGAAACGAGAAACCAGAAAATCGAGAAACTGAAATATCGAAAAATTAAAAAATCGGGAATGGGAAAAACAGAATATCTACAAAATTTGAAAAATTGAAAAACCGAAACGTCAAAAATTTGTGAAATCGAAGTCGAAAAATTGAAATATCGAAAATTTCAAAAATCGGGGAATCGCAAAATTAAAAAACTGAAACATTGATAAAATAGAAAATCGAGAAATTGGGAAATCAAAACACCGAAAAATTGAGAAATTTGGAAACCGGAAAATTTGAAAAATCTAAATGTTGAAATATTGAAAAATCAAAAACTTGAAATGACGGAAAATTGAAAAATTGAGAATCGGGAAGGAAATCGAAAAAGAAAACTGATAAACTTGAAATCTGGAAGAATTGAAAAATCGAAGTCGAAATTTTTTTAGAAACGGGGAAATCGAAGTCGAAAAATTGAAATATGAATTTTCAAAAATCGAAAATGTTGACGGGAAATGGAAAAATTGAGGAATCGCAAAATCAAAAAACTGAAACATTGATAAAATGGAAAATCGAGAAATTGGGAAATCTGGTAACCGGAAAATCGAAAATTTTAAAAATTAGGAAATTGAAATATTGAAAGCCCGAAAAGTCGAGAATTTGAAAAATTAGAGAATCGAAAAATCTAAATGTTGAAAAATTGAAAAACTGAGAATCGGAAGGGAAATCGAAAAATAAAAAAAAATGAAAATTGGAAAACTTGAAATCTCGAAGAACTGAAAAATCGAAAAATTGAGAAATGACGAAAAATCGAAAAACAGCATTATCGAAAAAATTAAAACTCAAATCGAAAGCTTGAAATATTTTAAAATGAAAAAGTTGACAAATCGAGAAATCCAAAATTTTTAAAAATTGGGAAATCGGGAAACCAAAAAACCGAAAAATTGGAAAATCCGCAAACTAGGAAATCGAAAAATTGAAAAATCGAAAAGTCGAAAATTTAAAAAAAATGGGGAAATCGTAGTCGAAAAATTCAAAACTCGAAAAGTCAAAATTCGAAAAACGAGACCGGAAAATCGAAAAGTTGAAAAATCGAGAAACTGAAATATCGAAAAATTAAAAAATCGGAAATAGGGAAATCGAAAATCGAAAAATTGTGAAACCAAAAAATTGAAAAAAAAGTCAAAAACTTGGAAAATCGAAGTCGAAAAATTGAAATATTGAAAGTTTCAGAAATCGAAAGTGGGGAGGGGAAATGGAAAAATCGAGAAATCGCAAAATCAAAAAACTGAAATATTGATAAAATGGAAAATCGAGAAATTGGGAAATCTGGTAACCGGAAAATCGAAAATTTTAAAAATTAGCGAATTGAAATATTGAAACCCCGAAAAGTCGAAAGTTTAAAAAATTGAACAATCGAAAAATCTAAATATTGAAATGTTGAAAAATCAAAAACTTGAAATGACGAAAAATTAAAAAATTGGGAATCGGGATGGAAATCGAAAAATAAAAAAAATTGAAAAATGGAAAACTTGAAATCTCGAAGAACTGAAAAATCGAAAAATTGAGAAATGTCAAAAAATCGAAAAACTGCATTATCGAAAAAATGAAAACTCAAATCGAAAGCTTGAAATATTTTAAAATCAAAAAGTTGACAAATCGAGAAATACAAAATTTTTTAGAAATGGGGAAATCGAAGTCGTAAAATTCAAAACTCGAAAAATCAAAAATCGAAGAAACGAGAAACCGGAAAATCCAAAAGTTGAAAAATCCAGAAACTGAAATATCGAAAAATTAAAAAATCGGAAATTGAGAAATCGAAAATCGAAAAATTGTGAAACCGAAAAATTGAAAAAAAGTCAAAAACTTGGAAAATCGAACTCGAAAAATTGAAATATTGAAAGTTTCAAAAATCGAAAATGGGGAGGGCAAATGGAAAAATCGAGGAATCGCAAAATCAAAAAACTGAAATGGAAATCGAGAAATTGGGAAATCTGGAAACCGGAAAATCGAAAATTTTAAAAATTAGGGAATTGAAATATTGAAACGCCGAAAAGTCGAAAATTTGAAAAATCAAAAAATCTAAATGTTGAAATGTTGTAAAATCAAAAACTTAAAATGACGAAAAATTGAGAATCGGGAAGGAAATCGAAAAATAAAAAAAATGAAAAATGGAAAACTTGAAATCTCGAAGAACTGAAAAATCGAAAAATTGAGAAATGTCGAAAAATCGAAAAACTGCTTCGTCAAAAAATGATAACTCAAATCGAAAGTTTGAGAAATTTTGAAAACAAAAAGTTGATAAATCGAGAAATCCAAAATTTTTAAAAATTGGGAAATCGGGAAACCAAAAAACCGAAAAATTGGAAACTCGTCAAACTGGAAAATCGAAAAATCGAAGAGTCGAAAGTGTTTTAGACAAAACTCGAAAAGTTAAAAATCGAAGAACCGACAAACCGAAAAATTGAAACATGGAGCAAATGAAAAATCGAAAAGTCGAAAATTTCAGAAATCAGGAAATAGAAGTCAAAAATCTAAAAATGGATAAATCGGGAAAATAATACATCGAAAAAGCGAGAATCGAGAGGCAAAATCAAAAAACTGAAAAATGGAAAAACTGAGTAAGTGATAAAATGAAAATTCGAAAAATTGGGAAACCAAAAATTGAGAAATCTGGAAATCGGAAAATCGAAATTTGGAATATGGAGGAATCAAAAATGAAAAAATCTAAAAATTGGGAAATTGGGAAACCGAAAAGCCGTAAAATGAGAAATCGGGAAACCGGAAAATTGAAATTTTTTTAAAAATGGGAAAATCGAAGTCGAAAAATTCCAAAACTCGAAAAGTCAAAAATCGAAGAAGCCATAAACGAAAAATTAAAAAATGGACAAAAAGAAAAATCAAAAAGTCGAAAATTTGAGAAATCGGGAGAGTCAAAAAATCGTGAAATTGATAATTGGAAAAATCGAGAAATTGAAAATTCGAACAGTCGAAAAATTGAGAAATTTGGAAATCAAATTTGAAAAGTGAAGTATCAGACAATCGAAGGAAATTAAATATTCTAAAAATCGAAAACTCAAAAACTGAAAAATGAAAAAATTATTGAAAAACTGTAAAATCGGGACATCGAAAAATTGAAAAATCGGAAAATCAAAAAAAATGAAAAATGGGAAACTTGAATAGCTCGAAGAATTGAAAAAATCTTGAAAGCGATGTCGAAAATCGAGAAATTAGAAAATATCGAAAAATCAAAAACCTGCAAAATGGAAAAATTGAGAATCAAGAAATCGAAAAATCTATAAATTATGAAACCAAAAAGTCGAAAAATTGAAAAACCGGGAAACCAGAAAATCTAAAAAGTTCTTCAAAGAATTTGAGAAATCCGGAAATCGAAAATCAAAAAATTAAAAAAAGTCAAATTATGTAGGAATTGGAAAATCAAAAAATCGAAGAACTGTGAAAAGTGGAAAAATTGGGAAATAGGAAAATATAGAAACCGAGAAATCAAGATATCGAAAAACTGAGAAATCTGGAAACCGGAAAGATGAAAAATTGAAAAATAGAGCACTTGAAAAACTAAAAAGTCAAAAAAAGGAGGAATTGAAAAATCAAAAAATTTAAATATCTAAAAGATTTGAGAAATCTGGAAATCGAGAAAATGAGAAAAAGAAAAATATGGAAATCCAGAAACCGATAAATTGAAAAATCGGAATATCGAAAAATCAAAAAACTTAAATATCTAAATATTGAAAAATCGAGAAATCTGGCAACCGAAAAGTCGAAAAATGGAAAAGTTGAAGAATGGGGAAATCGAAGAAAAATGGAAATTTTTAAAAATTGAAAAATCGAGACATCAAACACTCGAAAAATCGAGAAGTCAAAAAACGGGAAATTGAAAATTCGCAAAATGAAAATCAAAAACGTTAAACATTTACAAATTGAAAAATCGAGAAATTAGAAAACATCGAAAAATCAAAAACCTGCAAAATGGAAAAATTGAGAATCAAGAAATCGAAAAATCTATAAATTATGAAACCAAAAAGTCGAAAAATTGAAAAACTTGGAAACCAGAAAATCTAAAAATTGAAAAATCAAAAAGTTGAAAAATTCAAAATCGGGAAACCGAAATATTGGAAAGCCGAAAACTTGGGATATGCGAAATCGACTTTCAAACACCGAAGAACTTTAAAATCGAAAAATCGAGCAAATTGAAAAATCGAAAAACCAAAAACTGAAAATGACGAAAAATTGAAAAATCGAAAACCGCTCGAAAAATTTAAAGTCGAAAAGTCGTGAAATCGAAAAATCGAGAAACAAAAAATCTCAAAAATTGGGAAATCGGGAAACTGAAAAGCCGAAAAATTGGGAAATAGGGAAACCGGAAAGTCGAAAAATTGAAAAATCGGAAAGTCGAAAATGTGAGAAATCGGGAAAAATTCAAAAATGAAAAATTGGGGAAGAAATCGAAAAATCAGGAAATCGAGAAATCGAAAAACCAAAAAACTAAAAAATGGAAAAATTGAAATACTGATAAACCGGGAAATCGAAAAACCGAAAATCGAGGAACTGAAAAACCGAAAAATAGAAACTTTTTGAATGGGGGGGGGGAATAAAAAATCAAAAATGGGAAACTTAAATAGTCGAAAAATTGAAAAATCCAGAAATCGAAAAATCGAAAAATTTGAAAAATATGAATGTCGAAAATTTCAAAAATCGGGAAAATCCAAACAATCGAAGATCGGAAAACTGAAAAATTGAAAAATCGAGATATTGAGAAGCTGAAATTTTGAAGAATCGGGAAATCCAAGTCGAAAATTCGGAAAATTCAAAAATAGAAGTCGAGAATTCAAAAACCTGAAACCGAAAAACCAAAAAACTAAAAAATTGGAATACTTAGAAATCGGTAAAGGATAAAATCCGACAATCGAAAAATTGAAAAATCGGAAAGTCAAAATATTGAGAAATCGGGAAATTGAAGTCGAAACTCGAAGCATCGAAAAATTGAAAAAGGGAGAATTGAAAGGGAAATGAAAAGAAACGAAAACCCAAAAACTGAAAAATTGAAAAACCAAGAAATACGGAAATTGCAAAATCGAAGTCGAAAAATTATCTAGTCTGAAATTCTTTAAAAAAAAACAAAAATTAAGTTAAAATTGTCTGGAGATATTTTGCAGATAGTTATCAACATTTCGAAAGTTCATTATTCTTTTTTTGGTTTATTTTTCAAATCTTTTACGAATCTTACAATAGAAAAAATACGCAAACTTTAAGAAACAAATAACATAAAATTGTTAAATAAAATTTGTATTCAGCAACTAATAAATATATTGTGCACTCCGACAAAAACAACGCCCAGTATAAACCCCAAAAAATCCACTATCCATTTTTCCAGCTCAGCAACGTCAACACCAGAATCTACCACTTAGCCTCTCTCCTCGGCCTGATGCCCGCCCAGTGCATGGGCGTCTACATCGGCACGACTCTCCGCTCCATGCAAGACGTTTTGGAGGACAAACCTGCATCTTCCGGGACTTACGTCTTCATATCCGCTCAGCTAATCCTCGTCATCGTGCTCCTGCTCTGGTTCAGCGCCAAAGCGCGAAGCGAACTCATGAAGGCCTTAGCCGAGGCGGAAGCCTCTTCGACCAAAGCGACTACTTTCTCCATTGTGTGATACGTACTTTATTTATGTAAACTAAGAGTCTCTTAATAAACTATTTTAGTACACGATATTGTTTGCTTAAAATACACTGCGCACGGGCATCGGCGGACTTCAGTCGTTACAGGTTCCTGAAAAATCGAAAATTAGAGAAATCGTGAAATCGAAAAATCGAAATGTGAAAAATCAAAACAGCGAAAAATTGAGAAATCTGGAAATCGGAAAATCGAAAATTTGAAAAAATGGGGAATTGAAATATCGAAAAATCTAAATGTTGAAAAATCTAAAATTCAAAAACTTGAAATGACGAAAAATTGAAATATCGAAGAATTGAAAAGTCGAAAAATTGAGAAATGTCGAAAAATCGAAAAACTGCATAGAACACTAAAGAAATCAAAAGTTTGAAAAATTTTAAAATTGAAAAGTTGACAATCGAAAAATCGAGAAATCCAAAATCTTTAAAAATTGGGAAATCTAGAAACCAAAAAGCCCAAAAATTGGGAAATCGTCAAACTGGAAAATCGAAAAACAGAAAAATCGGAGATGGGGAAATTAAAAATTTTATTTATCAAAAATTAGCAAAATTGTAAAATTGAAAAATCAAAAAATCGAAAAATTGGGAAACCGGAACATCGAAAAATCAAGAAATTGAAAAAAAAGACAAAATATTTGGAAAATCGGAAAATTGAAGTCGAAAAGTTTAAAAAACGAAAATTAGAGAAATCGGGAAACAAAACAGCGAAAAATTGAGAAATTTGGAAACCGGAAAATCGAAAATTTGAAAAATTGGGGAATTAAAATATCGAAAAATCTAGAATCGGCAGGGAATTCGAAAAACCAAAAAAGTGTAAAATGGAAAACTTGAAATCTCGAAGAAATGGAAAATCGAGAATTCCAAAATGTTTAAAAATCGGGAAATCGGGAAACCAAAAAGCCCAAAAATTGGGAAATCGACATACTGGAAAATCGAAAAATTGAAAAATCGAAAAGCGGAAAATTTTTTAGAAATGGGGAAATCGAAGTCGAAAAATTCAAAACTCGAAAAACCGACAAACCGAAAAATAAAAAAAAATTGGAAAATCGAGAAACTGAAATATCGAAAATTTAAAAAATCGGGAAAGTGAAAATCAAAAAATCTACACATCAGAAACTTGAAAATTTGGAAAATCGAAAATTGACAAATCGAAAAATTGTGAAACCGGAAAATTGAAAAATCGAAAAATTGAAAAAACAAAAAGTCATTAATTTGGTAAATCGAGAAACCCAAGTCGAAAAATTAAAAAATCAAAAATTAGAGAAATCAGAAAATCGAAACATCAAAATGCGAAAAATCAGAAATTTGAAATATCGAAAATGGGGAGGGGAAATTGAAAAATCGAAAAAACGTAAAATCAAAAAACTGAAAAATTGAGACATCTGGAAACCGGAAAATCGAAAATTTGGAAAATTGTGGAATTGAAATCTCGAAAGCCCGAAAAGTCGAAAATTTCAGAAATTATGAATTGGAAAATCGAAAAATCGAAAAATTGTGAAACCGGAAAATCGAAAATAGAGAAATCAAAAAATTGTGAAACCGGAAAATTGAAAAAACAAAGTCATCAATTTGGGGAAAAGGGAAATCCAAGTCGAAAAATTAAAAAATCAAAAATTAGAGAAATCAGGAAATTGCAACATCAAAATGCAATAAATCAAAAATTTGAAATATCGAAAATTTCAAAAATCGAAAAAGGGGAATGGAAATGGAAAATCGAGAAAACGCAAAATCAAAAAACTGATAAAATTTAAAAATTGATAAAATGAAAAATCGAGAAATTGGGAAATCAAAACACCGAAAAATTGAGACATTTGGAAACCGGAAAATCGAAAATTTGAAAACTTGTGGATTGAAATCTCGAAGGCCGAGAAGTCGAAAATTTGGGAAATTGAAAATTGGAAAATCGAAAAATTCAAAAATCGATAATGGGGAAATCAAAAAACTACACATCAAAAACTTGAAAAATCGAAAAATTGTGAAACCGGAAATTAATAAATCGAAAAATTAAAAAAACAAAAAGTCTAAAATTTGGGAAATCGGAAAATCGAAAATTAGAGAAATCAGGAAACTGAAATATCGAAATGCGAAAAATCAAAATTTTGAAATATCGAAAATTTCAAAAATCGAAAATGGGGAGGAGAAATGGAAAAATTGAAAAATTGAGAAATGTCGAAAAATCGAAAAACTGCATAGAAGACTCAAGAAATCAAAAGCTTGAAAAATTTTAAAATCGAAAAGTTGACAATCGAAAAATCGAGAAATCCAAAATTTTTAAAAATCGGGAAATCTAGAAACCAAAAAGCCGAAAAATTGGGAAATCGTCAAACTGGAAAACCGGAAAATCGAGAATTCCAAAAAGTTTAAAAATTGGGAAATCGGGAGACCAAAAAGCCCAAAAATTGGGTAATCGACAAACTGGAAAATCGAAAAATTGAAAAATCGAAAAGTGGAAAATTTTTTAGAAACGGGAAAATCGAAGTCGAAAACTTCAAAACTCGAAAAACCGACAAACCGGAAAATCAAAAAATTGAAAAATCGAGAAACTGAAATATCGAAAATTTTAAAAATCGGGAAAGTGAAAATTTGGAAAAACAAAAATGAACAAATCGAAAAATTGTGAGACCGGAAAATTGAAAAATCGAAAAATTGAAAAAACAAAGTCATTAATTTGGTAAATCGGGAAATCGAAGTCGAAAAATTAAAAAACCAAAAATTAGAGAAATCAGAAAATCGAATTGCGAAAAATCAGAAATTTGAAATATCGAAAATTTCAAAAATCGAAAAAGGGGAGGGGAAATGGAAAATCGAGAAAACGCAAAATCAAAAAACTGATAAAATTGATACATTTGGAAACTGGAAAATCGAAAATTTGAAAAATTGTGGAATTGAAACCTCGAAGGCCCGAGAAGTCGAAAATTTGGGAAATTGAGAACTTGGAAAATCGAAAAATTCAAAAATCAAGAAACCGAAATTCGAAAAATTCAAAAATCGGTAATGGGGAAATCAAAAAACTACACATCAAAAACTTGAAAAAATGGAAAAATTGGGAAACCGGAAATTAATAAATCGAAAAATTGAAAAAACAAAAAGTCATAAATTTGGGAAATCGGAGAATCGAAAATTTGAGAAACCAGAAAATAGAAGTCAAAAATCGAAAAATTGAAAATCGAGAAATTGATAATTCGAAAAATCGAGAAATTAAAAAATGTCTAATAACTCAAAAAGCCTGAAATATCGAAAAATCGAGAATCGATAAATTGCAAAATCAAAAAATTGAAAAAGGGGAAAATTAAAAAAGCGATAAAAACGAAAAATTGAGAAATCTGGAAATCGGAAAAATCGAAATTAGAAAAATCGAGGAATTCAAAAAGCGAAAAATCAAAAAAATCTAAAAATTGGGAAATTGGGACACCGAAAAGCCGAAAATTGAGAAATCGGGAAACCGGAAATGGGGAAATCGAAGTCGAAAAATTCAAAACTCGAAAAGTCAAAAATCGAAGAACCGATAAACCGGAAAATTGAAAAATTAAAAAATAGAGAAAATGAAAAATCGAGAAATCGAAAATTTGAGAAATCCGGACATAGAAGTCAAAAATAGAAAAATTGAAAAATCGTGAAAATGATAAGCGAAAAATCGAGAAATTGAAAAATCGAAAAATTGAGAAATTTGGATGTTGGAAAAAATTTAAAATAAAAATTTTGAGAAATGGGGAAATCGAATGAAACTTGAAGTATCACAAAAATTGAAAAATCGAAAAATCAAACAAATGAAAAATGGGAAACTTGAAAAAATCTTGAAATCGATCTCGAAAAATCGAGAAATTGGAAAATATCGAAAAATCAAAATCCTGCAATGTGGAAAAATTGAGAATGGAGAATTCCAGAAATTTTAAAATTATGAAACCAAAAATTCGAAAAATTGAAAAATTGAAAAGTCAAAAATTTCAAAATCCAGAAACCGAAAAATTGGAAGATCGAATAGCCGAAAATTTGGGAAATCGGAAAATCGGCGTTGAAACATCGAAAAATTTTAAAATCGAAAAGTCAAGAAATCAAAAAATTGGGATATCAAAAAATGTAAAAGTTGGGAAATCGAAAAACCGAAAAACCGAAAAATTCGGAAATTGGGAAACCAGAAAATCGAAAAATTAAAAAATTGAAGTCGAACAACCGAAAACTCGAAAAGTCGATAATCGGAAAAATTGAAAAACCGAGAAACCGGAAAATCGGAAATTATTTTAAAATAATCCAAAAATTAAGTAAACACTCTCTGGAGAGACATTTTGCAGATAATTATCAACATTTCGAAAATTTTCAAAATTTAAGCACCAAAGCGTCCCAAATACCTATAATTTTGTTCATAAATTCCATCAATGTTTTGTTTATTTTTCGAACCTTACGAATCTTACAATAGAAAAAAATACATTAAATCGTTAAAATGTCAAATTTTATTTTATTCATATTTTGAAACCAATCGTAGTTGTAATTATTAAATACAATTTGTATTTGGCAAGTAAAGAACATATTATGCACCCCGACAAAAACCACGCCCAGTATAAACTAAGTAGTACACGCTATTGTTTGCATAAACTACACTGCGCACGGGCATCGGGGGACTTCAGTCGTTACAGATTCCTGTAATCGGGTGACGCGTGTTTAATGTAGATGGCGCACCAAAGCCAAACCCACGCGCTCTATCTTTATTGATCGGTTGCGATGTAAACACGGCCTGGAAAATCGCGAAAAGTGAACGAAAATGTGCCAAAGTGGCCTACTTTTGCTTTTGTTGCTAAAGGGGAGTTTTGTCGCCACACTGGAAGACAATTCGTTCGAGGATGATGATGGCATTTCGTGAGTCATTTTTAGCTGAAGTCGCCAATCGCTATGTTGTTGTTGTAGAGCAACAGATGAACTACCACCAGAAATAATGGAAGAACTAGAATTTGGCAACTCAGACGACGAAATTAGTGTAAGTGGTACCAAAAACAACTTGATCCGAATCGCGAATTTCCGTTTTAGAGGGTAGATGATGACGATGGACACATAGAAACCATCCACCAGAAGATGTACGTGACCAAAGATACGGTTGAAATCGCACAGGTACCACCTCGTTTTTGACTATGTCCCCAGTACTACTAATTTTGTAGACGGTCATACACATAAAAGACGATAAACTTTGTTGTGAGAGAGACGAAAAAACTAAGCCGGACCCGCAGTGCGACAAGGACAAATTTCCCGATAACATGACCCGAACCGGCCCGGAACCACCACAGGTACCACCACCAAGGACGAAAAACAATATACTCTATCCCTTCTCTTTAGGACAAAGCAGGACTTGCGCAGCACGGCGTAACAGAGGCTGAGGTTGTAGTAGCAGTACTAGTAGTACCGACTTTGTAATGACTAATGAGTACCTTTGTAGCTCGAGGAGAGTAAGTACTTAGATGTTTTCGTCACAAAGTAGCCCGAATAATGCTGTACCGGCGGTACTGGTGATGGGTTTTTAAGTACCTGGTGACTGTAAATTGTATTTTTTGTGACGATGTGTTTAGTTACAGAGCGCTTTCGGAGACGTTTCTCTCCGGCGAAACCAGGGACCAGTGTATTCGATTCGTGGCCTCTGAATATCTGGCAGTGTTTGGGGATACTTCTGTTCGTTTCGTACTGTATTAACAGTGCGGAGTACGGGGCTTTGAGGTCGCACTAGTACCGATTTGGTTTGGGTTTTTAAATGTCTCTCGCATTGTTCTCATCGTGGTCTAGATTAGGTAAGAAGTTGGAAGGAAGTGTTTTGTTTTTAAAGGAAGTATTTGTTGTAGATGGATGTTGTGTTAGTCATGCTATGGAGCGTCTGACTGAAGTTGTTGACGAGGTATATAACAAAGGAGCATTTATTCAAAAGAAAAAGAGGTGTTTTTGAAATCATGTTTTACTGTTGGTTTAACTACTGTCTCTGGATTCTTTGTGTTGTGACTGTGTTGATGTATGGTGACATCTTCGCAGAATAAAGAGTGTTTTTGAATTGTGTTTTATTGCATATCTTCAACATATTAGAAATGTTTTTGAGTTTTTTGTCAAATCTTCAAAAAATTTGAGAAATCGGGAAACCGAAAAATAAAAAAACTGAAAAAAAAAAGTCAAATTATCAAGGAATTGGAAAATCAAAAAATCGAAGAACTGTGAAAAGTGGAAAAATTGGGAATTAGGAAAATATAGAAACCCAGAAGTCAAGAGATCGAAAAACTGAGAAATCTGGAAACTGGAAAGTTGGAAAATTGGAAAATCGAGCACTTGAAAAACTAAAGTCAAAAAAATGAGGAATTGAAAAATCAAAAAATTTTAACATCTAAAAGAAATCGGAAAGTGAAGAATTCAAGAGTTTAAAAAGTCGTAAAGCCGAAAAATTGAAAAATCAAATGAAAAAATCCGGAAATTGAAAAAAAGGAATATCGAAAAATCAAAAAACTTAAATAGCTAAATTAAATCGGGAAATCCGGAAATCGAAAAGTCGAAAAATGGAAAAACTGAAAATTGGGGAAATCGAAGAAAAATGGAAATTTTTAAAAATTGAAAAATCGAGGCATCAAACACTTGAGAAATCAAAAATTGAAAAATCGAGAAACTGGGAAATCCAAAAATTGATAAATCAAAAAATGAGTAACAGAAAAATATGGAAATCGAGAAACCGAAAAGTGGAAAAACTAAATGTCAAAAAATCGGGAAATTGAAAAATCGCAATACCGAAAAATCAAAAAACTTAAATATCAAAATATTGAGAAATTCAGAAATCTGGAAATCAGAAAATTGAGAAATCGAGAGTTCGGAAAGTCGGAAAATCGTAAAGTCGAAAAGTGGAAAACTCGAAAAATCGAGAAATCAAAAACCAGGAAGTCGAAAAATTGAAAAATCGAAAAATTGGGAAATCGGGAAACCGGAAAATTGAGAAATTGAAAAATCGAAAGCTTGTCAATTTTTTAGAAATGGGGAAATTGAAGTGGAAAAATCGAAATGCCGAATAACTCAAAAACCTGAAATATCTAAAAATCGAGAATCGAGAAATTGGGAAATCAAAACAGCGAAAAATTGAGAAATCTAGAAACCTGAAAATCGAAAATTTTAAAAATCAAGGAATTGAAATTTTGAAAAATCGGGAAATCGAACTTGAAACATGGACAAATTAAAAACCAAAAAATCAAGGAATTGAAAAATCGAAAATTTGAGAAATCGGGAAATCGAGCTTGAAACATCGACAATTTAAAAACCAAAACATCGAGAAATCGAAAAATCAAAAACCGAGAAGGAAATTGAAAAATCAAAAAATAAATGAAATCTCGAAGAATTGAAAAATCGAAAAATCTAGAAATTGAAAAATGTCCAAAAATCAAAAACCTGCAATATCGAAAAATTGAAAAATCGAGAATCGGAAATTGAAAAATCAAAAAATCAAAAGCTTGGAAAATTTTAAAATTAAAAACTTTGGACTTCTCGAAAAATTGAGAAATCAAAAAATCTAAAAATTGCTAAATCAGGGAACCGAAAAGCCAAAAATATGGGAAATCGGCAAACCGGAAAATCGAAAAGTCAAAAAAACGAAAACTGGGAAACTCAAAAATCTGTAAAATCGAAAATTAAAGAACCGAGAAATCGAAAAACCGAAAAAATGAGAAATCGGGAAACCGGAAAATCGAAAAGTAGAAAATTTGAGAAATCGCAAAATAGAAGTCGAAAAATTGAAAAACTGATAATCAAGAAAATGGAAAATGGGAAACTTGAATTGTGGAAAAATTGAAAAAACTGGAAGTCGAAGTCAAAAAATCGAGAAATTAGAAAATATTGAAGAATCAAAAACCTGCATTATGGAAAAATCCAGAAATTAAAAATCGAAAAATCAAGAAATCGAAAAATTTTAAAATTGAGAAATAAAAAAGTCGAAAAATTGAGACATCGGGAAACCAGAAAATCGAAAAATTGAGAAATTTGGGAAACGAATTTGAAAACTCCTAAAATTGAAAAGTCGAAACTTTGAAGGATTGAAAAATCGAAAAATCAAAAACTGGAAATGATGAAAAATTGAAAAATCGAAAACCGGTAGGGAAATCGAAAAATCAAAAACTGCAATATCGTAAAATTGAAAAATCGATAATAAAAATTGAAAAATCAAGAAAATTCTCAAATCGGGAAACCGAAAAGCCAAAAAACTGTGAAATCAGGAAACCGGAAAATCGAAAAATCGAAAATTTGAGAAATCTAAGTCGAAAAACCGAGAAACTCTGAGATCGAAAAATTAAGAAATAGGAAAATGTCGAAAAATGGGGAAATCGAAGAAAAATGGAAATTTTTGAAAACTGAAAAATCGAGGCATCAAAAACTCGAAAAATCGAGAAATCAAAAGTCGGGAAGTCGAAAAATTGAAAAATGGAGCAACTGAAAAACCAAAAAGTCAAAAAACGGGAAATTGAAAATTCTCAAAATGAAAATCAAAAAAGTTAAACATCTACAAATTGAAAAATCGAGAAACTGGGAAATCCAAAAATCCAGGAATCGAAAACTTGAAAAATCGAAAACTTGCGACGTCGAAAAACCGGAAGACCAGAAATCGGAAAATCAAGAAATCGAGAGATCCAAAAGTCAAAAAATCGAAAAATTGGGAATTCGGGAAATGAAAAGGCCGAAAAATTGGGAAATCGGTAAACTGAAAAATCAAAAATGGAAAAACCGAGAAACCGAAAAATTGGAGAAAATGAAAAATCGAAAATTCGAAAATTTTAGAAATCAAGAACTAGAAGTCAAAAATCTGGAAATCGGAAAATCGAAATTAGAAAAATCGAGGCATTCAAAAAGCGAAAAATCAAAAAAATCTAAAAATTGGGAAATTGGGACACCGAAAAGGCGAAAATTGAGAAATCGGGAAATCGGAAAATCGAACAAACGAAAATTTTTTAGAAATAGAGAAATCGAAAGTCGAAAAATTCAAAACTCGAAAAGGCAAAAATCGAAGAACCGAAGAAAACTGAAAAATTAAAAAATGGAGAAAATGAAAAATCGAAAAGTCGAAAATTTGAGAAATCCAGACATAGAAGTCAAAAATAGAAAAATTGAAAAATCGTGAAAATGATAATCGAAAAATCGAGAAATTGAAAAATGTCGATTAACTCGAAAACCTGAAACATTGAAAAATCGAAAATTGAGAAATGACAAAATCAAAAAACTCAAATAATTGAAAAATCGAAAAATTGAGAAATTTGGAAGTTAGAAAAAATGAAAAATAAAAAGTTTGAGAAATGGGAAAATCGAAGTTGAAACTTGAAGTTTCACAAAAATAGAAAAATAGAGAATCGGGAGGAAAATCAAAGATTTTAAAAATCGAAATCTCAAAAACTGAAAAATGGAAAAATTATTGAAAAACCGTGAAATCGGGACATCGAAAAATCGAAGCTTTGAAAAATTGAAAAATCAAAAAAATGAAAAATGGGAAACTTAAAAAAATCTTGATATCGATGTCGAAAAATCGAGAAATTGGAAAATATCGAAAAATCAAAAACCTGCAATATGGATAAATTGAGAATGGAGAAATCGAGAAATCTATCAATTATGAAACCAAAAATTCGAAAAATTGAAAAGTCGAGAATTTCAAAATCCAGAAACTGAAAAATTGAAAGATCGAAAAGCCGAAAATTTGGGAAATCGGAAAATCGACGTTAAAACATCGAAAAATCGAGAAATTTAATAATCAAAAAACCAAAAACTGGTATTGACGAAAAATAGAAAAATCGCAAACCGGGATGGAAACCGAAAGAACAAAACAATGAAAAATGGAAAACTTGAAATCTTGGGACATCGGGAAACTGAAAAATCAAAAAACTGAAAAAAGTCAAATTATGAAGGAATTGGAAAATCAAAAAATCGAAGAACTGTGAAAAGTGGAAAAATTGGGAAATAGGAAAATGTAGAAACCCAGAAGTCAAGAGATCGAAAAACTGAGAAATCTGCACACCGGAAAGTTGAAAAATTGAAAAATGGAGCACTTGAAAAACTAAAAAGTCAAAAAAAGGAGGAATTGAAAAATCAAAAAATTTAAGTATCTAAAAGAAATCGGAAAGTGAAGAATTTCAGAGTTTGAAAAGTTGCGAAGCCGAAAAATTGGGAAATAGAAAAATATGGAAATCGAGAAACCGAAAAGTCGAAAAATTGAAAACCAAATGTCAATAAAATCGGGAAATTGAAGAATCGCAAAACCGAAAAATAAAAAAGAAGTTAGAAATTTGGGAAATGGAAGAAAAATTGAAAAATTGAAAATTCGAGGCTTCAAAAACTAAAAAATCGAGAAATCAAAAGACGGGAAGAAAAAATTGAAAAATGGAGCAATCGAAAAATCAAAAATTCAATAAACGAGAAACTGAAAAATCTCAATATGAAAAATAACTTAAACATCTAACAATTGAAAAATTGAAAAATTGGGACATCGAAAACCGAAAGATCCCAGAAATCGGAACATCAAGAAATCGAGAGATCCAAAAGTCAAAAAATCGGCAAATCGAAAAATTGGGAAATCGGGAAATGAAAAGTCGAAAAATTGGAAAAAACTGAAAATTTGCGCTTCTGTTTTCAATTCTAAGATATTTATAAAACTGAAAAAATCTGGAATGGGGAAATCCAAAAAAGCCAGATATCAACAATTTAAAAATTGAAAAATCGAAAATTGAGAAATCAAAAAATCGAAAAATTGAAATATCGAGACACTAAAACAAAAAGTCAAAAATATGGGAAATCCGCAAATCGAAGTCGAAAAATTGAGAAATCGAAAATTAGGTAAATCAGGAAATCGGAAAATCGAATGCGAAAAATCAAAAACTTGAAATATCGGAAATTTCAAAATCGAGAATCGGGAGGAGAAATGGATAAATCCAAAAATCACAAACGCAAAAAACTGAAAAATAGGAAAATTGAAGAACATAAACATGCAAAATCGCGGAAATTGGGAAATTAAAACACCGAAAAATTGAGAAAACTGGAAACTAAAAG